ATGTTATTATGTGTTAAATGCATGATTATATATGTTACAGATTACCTATGTTCTTCGGGACATATGGATAGATTACCTATGTTCTTTGGGACATATGGACAAGTTACCTATGTTCTTCGGGACATATGGACATATTATTATATGAGCTGTAGTGATAGCATATGTGTTTACAACTTCAAAGTACTCATATAACTTGAGTTATCAATAATGTACACGGGTATACAAAAGATATCAAAAGTATAAATGGGCTAGTATATGAGCTTTTGAAAGAGATAGTATAAATACACTGTAAGTGACGTATATGCTTTGTTATATTAAATGTATTATATGATATGTTACAATTGGTAAGTACAAGATGACATGTTACAATTGGTAAGTACAAGATGACATGTTACAATTGGTAAGTACAAGATGACATGTTACAAAGGTTAAGTGTACGATAACATGTTTTAAATGGGTTAATAATAATGATAGAGATCATGATAACGATATTGATGTAGATAATGATGGTATGTATGCATGTATGCATTCTGTTATGTGAAATATTCTATGATTTTATTATATGTTTTATATGCCTCACTAAGTCAACGACTTAGCGTGTGATTGTTTCACGCGTAGGTTCCGAGAAGAGGAAAAATGATAAAAATTAAGCAAGACAAGTCAGTTTCTCCTTTCCAAAGATCAGATCAGAAAAGAATTGAATAGTATGTATTTTGTAATACTAATATTGGTTGGCATGTAAATAAAGATTTGAATACGATATGCTCTGATCGAGTTTTGGAATGTTTTAAACGTATTTATGTAAATGGTAAATGTATAGTGATGAAAGTTTAAATTTTATGAGTTTTTACACAAGTGGACGAAATTACTGTAGCAAGAGTATCGGTACACTGTAGCAGGGTATCGATACCCATGTAGCATTATGGAAAATTTTTAGCATTCGGTATTGTTCATGGTACTGTTCATTACTGTTCACAATATTATTCATACCGTATAATACTATTTATAAAAACATTTCTTTCCTTAAATTTGTTATAACGAACATAATTCAACAATATATTATCGTATTTTCTTAATATAAGTTCAAATATTCTGTTATTTTGTAAGTAAATGGTTTGAAATGTCAATATGACACCTCAGACTCGTATCCGGATCGGGTACGGGTTGGGGGTTTTTACAATTTCTAAAATTCATTTTTGAATGTTGAATTGGTGTAACTAGATTTAATAATGTTATTGATATAAAATTTAGTGACGAAGGTTAATAATAGTTTACACAGATATATCCATAGGAAAATAGAAGATGTGTAAGATTATTTGACGAAATTTTAAGTGTCTAAAAAAATATGATTAATGTAGGTCTTTTATACAAACGTCTTGAGAAGAAAAACTAATAGTTAAATCATCGTAGGCCTCCCACACTTATGTTTAAATATGATTGAAATGTTTATTTTCCAATTAAAACTTTCGAAAGAGAAGACTTGACTTCTTGTTAATATGTTAAGTGTGTAAAGGACAAGTGTTAATAAAAAAAAGCATAATCTAAGACTTATAAATATGATAATCATATAGCGTCCGTGGGTATAATTTCCTAATCATGAATAAGATGAGCTCTTTCATTTAGTCGAAGGGAGTTGATTTGGGCGAAATAATTATAGATAATGTTGTAAGTGATTTTTTCCAGAGTTGATAATAATATATTTAAATTTATATATTTGTAACATTATTCATTTGTAAAATTGTAGCCTTGATATTTATTTTGTTATAGCTTGAAAATCTGGTTTTAAAACAGATAAAATATTAAAATTTACTGAATTATTTGTTTAATGGTACTTAATCTTGCTTTGTAAAACTAATACGAGATGATTAGTTAAACACACGTTCAAGATTAGTCTATGCTTGAGTGATTTAGCAATCATTGTGTGCCCCTTTTTATCATTTATTATTAAACACGTCATCAAAGTTAATATATTTTATTTGTAATTTATAGGAACATTAAGCCTTTTTATGACTAACATTGAATTTATTATCATATTTTAAATTAGGGAGATAATGTGAAGAAAACTAAACGGTTTTAATTAATTTATCTAAATTTAAAATTTTATTAGAAACAGTAAAATTTAATTTGATTCCAAAAATTATATTTTTTTTTTAAATTTTAAATTATTTATAACAAATTTAAATTTTAAAAGTTTAAATCGAGTTATATTATTATTATTATTATTGAATAAAAGAGTGTGATACGAAAGCTACGAAAAAACCCCTAGCTATCACCATTCCGAGTCTGTTGCAATAAACCATCACCATTTAGAAATTCAATCACCGCCGAGGGAGGAGTCTGGAGCAGCTGGAATTCGAAGGGTAAGCTCCAAGCCAATTTAGCCATACTATCCGCTGCCTTGTTACACTCTGGAGGCACAAATCTGAAGGATAAGTTCCATTCTCTATGCAGTAGTCGTATTATTAGACGACCCTTGCACAAGAGCCATAGTAATGCCTTCACACGGGGCAATCCCCGATGACGAGTAATGACATTCCACAAAGGCCTGTTATCACGAGGACACTCACCCGTCCGTTGACCATACCACTCTTCACTGTGAAACGATGCTTATCACATCTCCAACCCGGCGTGTCTGGAATACCCAAAGCTAACGGTGGCGTCACAGCCGCCAAATGCATGAGAAGTGAGAGAGGCAGCTTGTCCCTAAACTTCTCCCATTTCCACTTGCCATAGGTGTCCACCATTGAATTAAACAACGCAGGCTCCTCCTCATCTTCTCCCGGATTGATACGCAGAGCACGTAACGGTCCTAGATTTTCCAACCGCGTTTCGCCCCAAAAATCAACTGTTGCACCATCACCCAATGCCCAAACCAAGCCTTTTCGAACCTCTTCCCATACGATACTAACACCCTTCCATAACCGAGAGCAACCATTTCTGAGAACCGATTGCTGCACCAAATCAATTGCTCTATATTTAGCACGCAAAATCCTCGCCCGAAGTTGCTCTTTATGGGAAACAAGACTAAATCAATTCTTTTTTAAAAGGGTAAAGTATATAAATGGTCCCTGTCATATGACATTGCTTTATTGAATCTATTGATTATTAAAAGTTATAAAATGATCAACCAAATATTCACATGTTCCAAACATATTCTTTCATTTAAAAATTTAACATCTGTATGACCTGGACGTTAACCTGTTGATTGAAATATGATAAAATCATATTTTAATGATGTCTACTGACACCATCGTAGTTTTCAAGTATTGGCTCGACAACATAATATTTCAAGCACTGGTTCGACGATATAATGTAAACGAAAAGTAGATCCATAAAATACAATTCAAACAGTTTTATGATTAGATTATTTTACATGTCAGACAACATGTTAACATCCAGCTCAGATGACCGTAAATTTGTTAACGGGAAATGATAAGTTTGGAACATATGAATAGTCAGATGATCATTTTGTAACTTTTAATAGTTTGAGTACTCAACAAAATAACATTCCATAGTCAGAGAATCATTTTATAACTTCAAATAATTTGAGACTTAATAAAGCAACACCTTGTAGTCAATAGACTATTTATGTATGTTACCCTTTTTAAAAAACAAGAGATAAATAAGATGCAGTGTGTTTACATCACATAAGTTGAAAGCAGTGGTAGATTCAGAAATTTAAAAATTAGGTCCAAAATTTTAATTTTCTTTTCTTAAAAATAATGTGTATGCAAAAATTATAATTTTTTTCTTAATACATTAAGTTAAATTTAACTACATTTTTAAAATAATGGAGATGCACTTAACCCCTATGAGGCTTAATGCATCCGCCATTAATTGAGAGAAACATAAAATGCTAAATCTCTTAACGTTATTAGCTCGTAAAAAATCAGCGAGAAATTTTTTTTTGGAACCTCCGGACATAGTAGCTGCATTAGTTCTTCGAAAGACTTATTAATCTTACAAATAAGTTGACTGTGCTGCATGAAAAATAAAATCTGTAACTGTGTTAGGGTGTGATAATCTTTGTTATGAATAATTTCTATTTGGGGGAGATTTTTTTTTTTACTTCTAATAGGTATTAAATTTACAATCTAAAAAAAAGTAAATTGAGAATTTTTAATCAATCGACGGAATATAATAAATTTTAGATTTTTTATTTTCTTTTTGGTTTTTTAATGTTTAGTCCATTGTTATTGGACTGGATCGGAACGGTTGATCAAATTGGTTGGGCAACTAGTTCAATAAGCAGTTACAAACCGTTTGACCAATAAACTGTCCAAAATTGCTTTTGGACTACAAACCGGTTAGACCGAATTTCGGTAAATTGGGCTCCTTCCACTGAACTCAACTAAAAAAATGGGCACGAACTTCAGTGATCTCGATAATAAATGAATTGTTGATCTTATTTGAGGTATTGAATTCGAGCATCATAAATATGAGGAGTATAAATAGGCATGAACCCTAGTGATCTCAATGATAAATAATTTGTTGATATTCCTTAAGGTCCATACGTTATATTTTTAAAATTATATTTAATGTTATATTTTGGTTATGCGTCATCAAAAATAAATAAAATTACTCACGTAATAATTTTTATTTTTTTCATGATAATGTAACATTTATCTTATTTTAATACATTAATATCACCGTTATTTTTTAACGACATATTTTAAAATAGAATCTAAACACGACTTTAAGTCGAAATGACCAAAATAAAACTAAAGTAATAATGGAGTTACTAAATACATAAACTACCCTAAAATTAAATAGAGTATGGGGAGGTTCTAACGATTAGGAAAGGTATAGGATAATCGTTTATTATTTATCGGAGAAAAACCAACGTTGCTATTAAGAGACGTCACCGCTTACGCCACGTGTTATCAACCGACACTTGATTCCTTGCAAAATTGTACATATATCGTAATAACTCTGCCCGATGTGTACTTCCTTCCAAGGTTTGTTAATTTTTCCCTACCAAAGCTGCCCTTCAACGGAGCCCTGGTGCGATGGTGCCCACTTCAAGGAGCATTTAAGCCCGTCATTTTCTTCATATTTTAGTACCATTTTTGGAAAGTTAACTTTATCTTCATCCTTAGGACCTTGTCTTTCTTTATTTTAATACTCAAGTATATTTATACACTCCAGCTTCTCATTTATACGATACCTGAATCAGCCTTCTTACACCTTCTCTCCTAGTCTAAAGCAGCGTTGAAGGTAAATCTGAAGCAGCTTAATCAGCTCATCCTCCTCCTCCTTTTGTGGTTACTTTTATTTTCTACAGTTATTTTTTTTTGGGTTGGTTAAGTTTGCTATTAGAAAGAATGTAAAGGTGACGGTTTTTCCTTTGCTTTGATTCTTTTGATGATTCCTGAATCTGGGTTTTGATTTGCTTCAATAATAACAAGCTGTGGTTTGATCAAGGTTTCATTATCTTAATTCTCTATTAGAAACTTCTGTTTCTATATAGACAGAAAGCAGGTTTGCTTCTTTTTCTGGGGTTTTTGGCTTTATCAAGGAATTCGATCGAGACTCTTCCTATGAGTCTATGACTGGCCTTGTGTATTTTGGATTTATGAAATTTGACTTATTGATGAACAACAGTTGATCTTGGAATTAAGTTTTGAGAGGGTCAACTATATATTCATGGTGTATTTGATTCACCGGAATGAAATAAGGATATACTGTATTGAAACAAATTCTATTTACGTTTTGCTTAGTTTATATTAATGGAAATTTTCAAAAATCTTGAAAGAAAGTAAGGGCTTAATAAAATCTATTCAAAAACTTTGAGGGCTGTAATAAAGATTTTCAAAAAAAAAATCAGAGAAATTAATAGAGATTTTAAAAATAATTGAAGGCTTAATTAAAAAATTTGAGGGGACCAAATCAAATTTGACAAAAATATTTAAGGTGCATAGGGTGGAAGGCCCTGTCCTTCACCATTAATTATCATGATTTGCTCTTTTGTATCTGGGTTGTGTGAACCAGTTTGTATTCTTATTGTTTCAATTCATGCATGAGAGTCAATACATTCAGGAATGAAGCTATAGTGGAACCGGGAAATTAACCCATTTCTTACTGCAAAAAGTTTAAAGGAAGTTCAATTCTTCTATACATCATGGCTTTTCATTTTCTCTAATATATCTCCTTTCAATTCTTTTTTTAGCCATGGTCAATTTATATAGAAAGAGGTAAAATAAAGAAAGTAAAAATGGGTTTTAAAACTGTAATAAGTTACTCAGGTCTATAGGGGACTGTCAAGACCATTATACCTTTAATATAGTCATGAATAGTTAAATTTTGAAAGGCCTTTTATTTTGGGAAGAACTTCTGTTTACAAAACTTGATTCAGTAGTAATTGAATGTTGATCAAGTTGTTAACCTTTTTTTTGTATGTAGGTTAGTTCATTATTGTAAGGGAATATTACATAGGCTTTCAGTAAAACATTCAGAATGAAGAATACTGACACAACAACACTCACCAAACCCCTGAGGAAAAAAGTAGATTTCAATGATTATTTGTCATCTTTTACAAAAAAATATGGAACGTATGGGGTTGTCGGTGCTGCTGTTGTTGGTGTGATCGTACCCGTATTGTTTTCCTCCATTCTAATGGGCAAGAAAAAGGGGAAAAAAAGAGGAGTTCCAGTTAAAGTGGGTGGTGAAGCAGGTTATACTGTGCGCAATGCTCGAAATCCTGAGTTGGTTCAGTTTCCTTGGGAAGGGGCCACTACAATAGCTGCACTTTTCGAGCAATGTTGTGAAAAGTACTCACGAAATCCATGTCTGGGAACAAGAAAAGTAATTAAGAAGGACTTTGTTGCTTCCAGTGATGAAAGGAAATTCGAGAAGGTACACCTAGGGGATTATGAATGGCAAACCTATGGACAGGTTTATAAACGTGCTTGCCATTTTGCATCCGGGCTTGTTAATTTTGGTCATAATGTTGATACTCATGTTGCGATTTTTTCTGAAACTCGAGCAGAGTGGCAAATTGCCTTTCAGGTATTGCCATGATCCCTGATTTAACACTTTTTTTCCAATTAAATTTTTTGATGCAGTGCCATATTTCTTTTTTGACTTACAGGGATGCCTTAGGCAGAATGTAACAGTTGTCACTGTTTATGCTTCACTAGGTGAAGATGCCTTGATCCATTCTCTGAATGAGGTGAATTCACACAAAAATGGTTTATTGAATATACAATGTGATTATATGGTTACAATATTTTCATCTTCCTCACTTCTCTTTCTTTTTGCAATGCTTGTTGTCCTCATTCAATGTTTTAAAATTATGACAGACCCAGGTATCAACCTTGATCTGTGAATCCAAGCAGCTAAAAACGTTGGCTGCAATACGCACAAGACTGAAAACGGTTACAAATATCATTTACTTCGAAGATGATGAGAATGTGAATATTTCTGATTTGTTTGGAAGCACGAGTGGTTGGAATGTTTCTTCTTTTAATGAAATTGAATCACGTGGAGAAAGAGCACCTGTTGCTCCTTGTCTACCCTCCAAGGATGGTGTAGCAGTTATAATGTATACAAGTGGCAGTACGGGTCTGTCAAAGGTTCGGTGCCTAAATTTAGTTCCTTATTTTTCATGTTGTTCATATGTGCAAGCTTAGTGATCCATCTCGCACAATGCTAGCAAATTTGCTGATTGGCCTTGGTGGAATGGTCAGAACCAGTGGATTTACCCGTATAGATTGCATGCTGAAAGACAATATATATAGGGTTTGTATACCTTTATGTGGCTTACTTGAAAATGAAGAGGAATAAAATGAGCACAGCTCTGCTCTAAGTTAAATTCAAAATTTTAAAATGTAATTTACATGCCTGCATTACCATTATTTGAATTATGACTTGGAAATTACATTCACCTAATAAATCATCCTATGCAACTGAGTAACTGCATGTGCCCCGGTCGTTATTTGTACAGGCTAACATGATTTACTCTTTAATGAGTTAGGGAGTCATGATAACTCATGGGAACATTGTAGCCCTTGCTGCAGCAGTTATGACTATTATCCAAGGACTGGGAAGAAATGATGTATATTTGGCATATTTGCCCTTAGCTCATGTTCTGGAACTGGCAGCTGAGGTAGGTTCATATCCAGTTTTTCTTGTCTACCAATGGCATCAAGATTATTCTTATGGTTCTGTGTTCTCCAGTCGGTGATGCTGAGTGCAGGTTGTGCAATTGGCTATGGTTCACCTTTGACACTAACAGATGCTTCTAGTAAAATCATGAAAGGGACCAAGGGAGATGCTTCTGTATTGAAACCCACTCTCATGGCAGCTGTTCCTGCTATTTTAGATCGTGTTCGGGATGGCGTTCTGAAAAAGGTGCATACTGGTTTGACTCTCTTGTAGGGGCAATGACAGAAGTTGTATTTAGGTGTCATATTATATATGTAGTGCTCAAAATAACAATATAACTTGCATATCGAAATAGCAGATTTGATCATAATAATGCTATTAAATTTAAAAATGATGTATACGTTTCTTTTATGAAAAAAATAGAATTCAAATATTATAATTGATATTGCATATGTAAAAATATTCAATAAAGTGTATACAAATTTTATAAAGAGGGCCAAGTTAAAAATTGAAGGGCCGATCCATAGTTTATAGTTATACTATTTATTAAGTGAAGACCCTTCCTTTTCCCTTAGATATGCCTTGCTCATTGTTCTCTTGTACATGGGGAGCAGGCACTCGTGCCATGTTGAGTCTCACATATGGTATAACAATGAACTGCCCTTTTACTAATTGATCATATTTTATGTAGATTGACGATATGGGAGGATTAGCAAAGAAACTTTTTTATTTTGCTTATAAACGGCGACTGCAAGCTATAGAAGGAAGCTGGTTTGGTGCTTGGGGACTTGAGAAATGGTTTTGGGATGTTATCGTTTTTGAAAAAGTACGTTCTGCACTTGGAGGTCGCATCCGAATCATGCTGTCTGGTGGGGCACCTTTATCTGGAAATTCCCAACACTTCATCAACATTTGCATGGGGTAATTATTCTTTTCTTAGATACCCATATAGTTTGACGAAAATTTAGTTTCTCTCATTTGTTTGGTGCTGATGCCAAATATTAATGGGTACCAGTGTCTGCTTTCCAGCCAGTGTTGTGAGACAATCTGGAAGTGTTCGTTCTGTTGCTTAGATATATCCATACAACTATCATTATATCAACTATTTCACTGTGCTTGTATTCACCGCATATCATTTTAAACCTGTGCCAGTAAGAGTGACTCTCGGTAGCAATATTTTTGGAGGAATTGCCCTTCCAGTTGTAGCATTTTTTTGTTTGCAAGTTAAGCTAATTAAGTTTCAGAGAATAATTTGCATTGAATAATCAGATGGCTGGAGAAGTTTACTTTCAGTTAAGAGTATGTCAAGTTCTTATTATGAAGTGGTGAATGTAATCAATCATGAACATGGAACTTCAGTTTCTCAGTAAAATTCGATTGCCATGTCTTATTTTCTTCGCTAGGGCTCCCGTATGTCAAGGATATGGCTTGACAGAAACATGTGCTGGAACTGCTTTTACCGAGTGGGACGACACAAGTGTGGGCCGAGTTGGGCCACCGGTTCCTTCTTGTTACATTAAGGTATGCCAAATAACATAAGCGAATCGAGTTTCCCAGACATCTTTCTTTGTTTTCTGAAGAAAGGTTATACAAGTGTTTATTGCTGCCAGCACATTTCAGCTTGTGGTTTATGCACTTGGATCCTTGGGAGTATTTTTTAGTGAAATGAAATGAAAAGATGGAAGCACTTCATTATCGTCTGATATTTTACATTTTACTTGATGCTCATGCTGGTGTTTATTCAAGGTTCACAGTGCAAAATTTTTAGAATTGGGTTGCTTTTTCAGCTTGTTAACTGGGCAGAAGGTGGGTATACAACGTCCGACAAACCGATGCCTCGTGGAGAGATCGTTATTGGGGGATACAGTGTAACTTCTGGCTATTTCAACAATCCTGAGAAAACTGCAGAAGTTTACAAGGTGGAGTTCGTGCTTTGTATCTGTACGGGGCAAGTAATAAGCAACTAGGTCTGATAGCCTGTAAGTATCAACTAATACAAACAACTGTTTGCTTGCACCTGCAGGTTGATGAGAGGGGTATGCGCTGGTTTTACACGGGAGATATTGGACAATTTCATACTGATGGATGCCTTGAGATTATTGACAGGAAAAAGGATATTGTTAAACTTCAACATGGAGAGTATATATCCCTCGGAAAGGTGATAATAAAACGATCCCATTACTTATCTGTGGATACTGGACCGGATGCTCATTTTTTGCTGGTTGCAGGTTGAGGCAGCACTGTTGTCGAGCCATTTTGTCGACAATTTGATGGTACATGCAGACCCCTTTCACAGCTATTGTGTGGCTTTGATTGTTCCATCACAGGAGGTTCTTGAGAAGTGGGCCAAAGAAGCTGGTATAGAGTACAAAGATTTCCCAGAACTGTGTGACAAAGCTGAAACTGTTACTGAGGTCCAAAAATCTCTTTCAAAGGTCAGTCTTTATGCGTTTCGGATGCAGATACTTGCAATTTAATGAATAGGAAGAGGTAGTAGGAGAAAGGGTATAGAGGTACGAATTTTTTAGAAGCGTAGAATTAGATAATCAATAAAAATACATAAATATAACTAAAATTTAATAAATTTTGAAAATTTTAGAGCGTGCGATCTATTTTCAACACCCTCTCGATCCATCCTGGGTGATTGATTACTAACCGGGGAGAGTGCAGGTGGCAAAGGATGTAAAGCTGAACAAATTCGAAGTGCCAGCAAAGATTAATCTGATGGCAGAAGCATGGACACCTGAGTCAGGGTTGGTCACAGCTGCACTCAAAATTAAGAGGGAACAGCTCAAGACAAGGTTCAAAGATGAACTCCAAAAGATGTACCACTGAAATCATAAAAGTTGGTGAAAGGTGTTGTGGCTACTGTGTAAGCTTTACTGTGTGTTGAGATTAAAAAAAAGGGGCAGATTTGTCTTTAAATCAGAGTTTGTCTAAAGGAAATCTGCCCCGCTGTTAAGTTGTACTACATTATTTTATATAAACAGTAAGCTCTAGTTTCACAATGCGCTAAGTTGGGGAATAAGAGTGGAATGCTCCACGTCTAGTATTCAAACTATTAATTTTATTTCGTTTTAATACTTACATTTTTATTTATTTTAAAATTATGTATAAACATAATAATTTTAAAAATAATATTTTTCAATCTCGTAAGATAAATGTATATTCAATTAGTTGTACCTTAATAAATAAGTTTTCAATTGATTGTGTCTTTGTCTTATATGATGATTGATTGGTTGATCGGTTGGTGAGGAAAAATAATCACCTCCTTCTAAAAAATTGAGGTTTTAATATTTAAAATTATCTTTTGATTAATATATCGATACGAATTTGGTCTAATTTTAAAATTATAGTTGATAATACAAAGTAATAAATTTTGCTATGTTTTTTTAATCTCACACTATTTATATTTAAAAATGATCTTCTAAATATATATTCATTCATTAATTGAAGATATGCTTATAAATATACGTGGTCGTTGTTGTACGACCAATTTGTGCTTGTGAAGAGACATATATCATACATATTATTTATTTTTGAATAAATAGTTTATACTTTTTCACATTTTCAACTTAATATTTTTATTTATTTTATTTTAATTTTATCTTAGATAATGTGATTTGTAAAATAACTCCTATAAAACAATAATGGCCTTAGAATGTTATTTTGTCTTTTACATTTTTTTCATATAATTTTTTTATAAAAAATTAAACTTATCTAAAAATATCTATATTTACATTGTAACATATTATTTATTTTGACAAATAAATAACTACTTCCATTAAAAATCGCCAACTCTCCTTTTAAAAAATTATAGTTATTTTAAAAAATAAAAAAAAATAAATCTTAAAGTTTTACATGAACTTTCATAAAAAATATAAAAAAAATAAATCTTAAAGTTCAACCATGCACATTTCTCTTTTAAAAAATAAGCATATCTATTTATTTTTATGATTGACAAATATTTTTTTTGGTACATATGATTGACAAATATAATTACTTCTATATATAATATGCAAAAGTAAAATGATATTAAAAATAATGTTAAGAGCTTGTAAAAAATAATATAATAAGAATTTAACGTATATAATTATATAAAATCAAAGTTTATGTATCATATTATATATTAATTAAAGTTTATGTACAATTTTAATTTTTTTGGGTAAACTACATAAACATTCATTAAAAGTATAAGTAAATTTATTTTTTGAGTGAAGATTTAAAAGTAATGAAACTATTATTAATATTATTATTTGATGCTAAATTGATACTTGACAGTTAATAATCATTAATTTAATAATAAGACTTATGTGACACGATAAGCTGACTGAAATAGTATCATTTAACCACGTGAACAAATACTGACCAATATTTACTCAATACATTATGCGTTTGTGATTATTTCAAATGCATGAAATACGTTTAGTTTCTCATGGTCACACAAGTTAATTTCATGTCGAATTTAAAGATTAAACTTAAAATATAGAAGTTTAGTGACGGATCTAAAAATAGTATTGAGAGTTGATACAAATTTATTAATAATATAAAATATTTGAATTGATTAAATATAAATAAAATTTTAAGATAAATATTATCATTAAAATAAATAAAAATTGAGATGTCCATCCTCAACAAGGTTAGAAAATGCTCAGAACCGCCTCAATTCACATGTATAAAAAGTTGGATACATTTTTCACACAGTTAATTAATTAATTCCTTAAAAAATGGCATTCTTAACACTGGGAAGGGATAGTGGAGGGTCCCATTCTGTCTATCTTTGTTTTGCCAAATAAATTAAGAGAAAATCGCCTGTGATCAAAAATGCCTTATAATATACGATTTTAATTAATTTTTTTTGGATTTGCCAAAATGACCAACAAAATCGCAACACGAAATAAAAATCGCAACGCGATCCCCAAAATCGCAAATCAGTTTCTAAAATCGCAACGCGATTCTTGACAATCGCAATGCGATTTTCATATTCGCATTGCGATTTTCCATAATCGCAACGCGAATATGAAAATCGCAACGCGAACACATAAATCGCAACGCGTATCCGTAAATCGCAACGTGTATCCGTAAATCGCAACGCGTATCCGTAAATCGCAATGCGTATCCGTATATCGCAACGCGTATCCGTAAATCGCAATGCGATTTTTAAAGCGCCATTATAATCGCTACGCGTATTTTATTTTCAAATTACAAAAACGAATATTAAGACAAAATCCCGTAATCGCAACTCATAACCTAAAACCTAAAATCACAACTCAGTCCCATCTCCATCTCTCACTCTCTACGGCGAAATCCGTCCCCATCTCCGAAGATTTCCGTCCCCATCTCCGGCGAAATCCCTCACAACCATTCACGGTCAAAAATCCCTCACAATATTCAGAAATGGAAAATCAACCTCCGATGGTTAGTTTTTTTAATTATTTTTATTTTGAATTTTTTGCATTATTGTAGGTTTTTCATATTGAAACTGATGATAAGTTTACTGGTCATTTCAATAATAGATTAACCATTTCACTTAGATTTCATTTCGCGTTACGATTCTCTCGTTGCGATTTTCATTTCGTGTTGCTATTCTCTCGTTGCGATTTTCAAGTTAGTATTTGTCTTTGTCTTTGTTCTGTCTTTTGGTTGAAGTAATGCAATCCATTCAAGTTTCAATTTGCAGAAAAGTCGCAACGAGATAAATGAAAATCGCAACGTGAAAATGACTATCTGCAACGAGAAAAATGAAAATCGCAACGAGAGAATCGCAACGCGAAATGAAAATCGCAACGAGAGAATCGCAACGCGAAACCAAAATCGCATTGCGATTTTCATTTCGCGTTGCGATTCTCTCGTTGCGATTTTCATTTCGCGTTGCGATTCTCTCGTTGCGATTTTCATTTCTCTCGTTGCGACAGTCATTCTCTCGTTGCGATTTTCATTTCAACCAAAAGACAAAACAGTGTTGCAAATTTTAGTTTCAAGAATAAACTACTACTTTTTATGTTTATTGTTTTTGGTATATCTTCACAGTGTAGTTTTTGGTATATCTAACTTGGTATGTTTATTGTTTTTGTAGAAATTTTTTTCGGCTTCATTGACATTAAGGAATAAAGTCAGCCTAGCCACTACAATTGCTTCGAAGCTTTCACCTGCACAAAGACAATTGTTTGAGGAAACCTGCTTCAGGCCATGGCTGAGAGTACAGCATCCGGGTGGAGATGCTAATTTGACCCATTTGTGGCTTCAGACCATGACATCAAATCTACCCGACAGTATACAACGTGGTGAGGAAGAGATATGGTTTCATTTTCCACCAGCGTATACTTGTTTTGGGCGGAAGGAGTTCTGCTTAATCACTGGTCTACGATTCGGACACGATGATATAGGCCGGTACACTCGTCATATCGCCCGCCCATCATGGTTATCCCGGGTTTTTCCGGATGAGTCAATGGAGAAGCCGAACCTACACGTCGACGACCTGAAGAAATTGTTTAATAAGAAAGCTGGTTTCACTCGGATGGATGACGTCGATGTTGTCCGAGTATGCCTTCTACTACTTGTGTATGCCGGCTTTTTAGGCAGAGAGGCCAGACAACCTATTCCTCGGGAGCTAATAATATTGGTAGAGGACCTGAATGCATGGAATCTGTTTCCATGGGGTTCGTATATATGGAAAGCTACCTGGACTAAGTTGTCTACTGCCTTTGATGACCGCAAAAGTTTGCGTGGCGATGGGTCGAAATACACTTTGTCAGGCTTTGTTTGGGCCTTTAAGGTAAGAATTTCTATATAATGTTTCTAAAATTATAATTAATTATTTAACAATTACTAATTTTGTTATTATATTGTTTGTAGATTTGGATATTCGAGGCTTTCCCCAGCATGCGTACATATGCAATAAAAACGTCAAATGATATTCCCAGGGCTATTTCTTGGAAGAGGAAAAATCTGTTGGATTGGGAAGACTTAATACCATATGCGACAATAAATAATGTAAGTTAACACAAATACTTTCATATAATATATAAACAAGTTATTAATAGTAGACGTTTAACTTTGTTTGAGTTTTTATATTGTTAGGAGGCCAACATTCCATTACAAAGACTGACACCCACGGAGGAAGAGCTTGCCAATGATTGGTGGCAAGCTAGTCAGAGTTTTTTTGATGGCACGGATGATGAGCAGCATCCACTTCCTCCAATTCGAGAGCCATCACCTCACCTAGAGCCATCACCCGATCGACCCGACTATACACATCTAGAACGAGAGCCATCACCTATCCCGTCACATCATCGAGCCTCTTCTCCACCATCACCTCATGATAGGCGACCGGCAAAGATGCCACGACTCCTATCTCCCTGTTCTCCACCTCCACCTCCACGGGATGAGTCAAGGGAGTTACGTGATGAGGTCAATGCCTTGCGTGAGGAGATCGGTACTCTACGCGATAACGATGGTGCATGGCGTGTGGAGGTGTCAACTTTACGTGGTGAGGTTGCCTCTACGTGAGATGATAGTATCGTTGCAGAATGAGGTTCATACTCTACGCAACGAGGTAAGTTTAAGATTTTCCATATTTAACTTAATGATAAATTTACTCGTAATTTCACTTAGATTAGCCATTTCACTTAGATTGCTTAGTAAATTTATTCGGTTGCTGCCAATTCTGCTAAACTGTGTATTCTTTAACACTGTGAAATAGTATTTGTCTTTGTTTTGTCTTTTGGTTGAAAGTAAATTTGTTCGGTTGCTGCCAATTCTGCTAAACTGTGTATTCTTTAACACTGTGAAATAGTATTTGTCTTTGTTTTGTCTTTTGGTTGAAAGTAAATTTGTTCGGTTGCTGCCAATTCTGCTAAATTGTGTATTCTTTAACACTGTGAAATAGTATTTGTCTTTGTTTTGTCTTTTGGTTGAAAGTAAATTTGTTCGGTTGCTGCCAATTCTGCTAAACTAATACCCTGAAGTCAATATTTGTCTTTGTTTTGTCT